CGCAGCCCGCGGCTGGCGCGCAGCGACGGCGCCCCGCCGTCCTCCGCACGCACCTCCACCTCGTACTCCGACACCCGCTCCCGGTCCAGCGCCTCGCGCAGCACCAGCGAGTACGAGCCCGCGAACGTCGCCTCCAGACCGAACGGCGACGCCGGCCACACCCAGCACCGCACGCGACCGTTCGCCCCCGAGTCCCGGTCCGACACGCTCAGCAGGGCCACCACCGTCCCCAACGACGCGTCCTCCGGCACCGGCACCGACAGCGATGTCACCCACACCTCCGGCGCGTTGTCGTTCACGTCCAGCACCTCCAGCTCCACCTTACAGTGACCCGACAGGGGAGGTGTCCCTTGGTCTCTCGCTTCAATACGGAAATTAAATATATTGGCGTCCTCGAAGTCTAGAGCGCCAGTGAGGTGGATCTCCCCGGTATTTGGATTGACGGAAATTACATCTCTTCCACTCGGGGGAAGGAAGTTTGTCACCGTATAGATCACCTGACTATTAATTCCCTCATCTGCATCCGTAGCGTTCACCCGTGTCACCAGCGTCCCCACAGCAGCGCTCTCTGGCAGCTGCACTTTATACACCGACTGGTTGAACTGGGGCGCATTGTCATTAGCATCCAAAACCGAGATCAGCAGCTCCATTGTCCCTGTCAGAGACGGCCGGCCCCCGTCACTCGCTGTCAGCACCAACCGGTGAACGGGAATTGTCTCGCGGTCCAGAGGTTTCGTTAAAACAAGTTCAGGTTCTATATTTCGCGCATTGGAGTTCTGTAATTCCAGAGAAAAATGCTCGCTGGGACTGAGTGTATAGGTGAGCTGAGCATTCGCTCCGATATCCGCATCCGATGCGCCCTCCAGTGGGATACGGAACCCAGGAGGGGAGTTCTCCGATAAACTGAGGTTTTTTCGTGCGGCGGGGAAGACGGGGGCATTGTCGTTGATGTCGGTGACCTCCAGCTCCACATGGAACACGCGCAGCGGCCGCTCCACCAGCACCTCCAGGCGCAGCGCGCACGGCGCGCTCTTGCCGCACAGCTCCTCCCGGTCCAGCCGCGAGCTCAGCACCAGCGCGCCGCTCGCCCCGCTCACCTCCACGCTCGCCCGCCGGCCCTGCGCCACCAGCCGCAGCCGCCGCGCCTCCGCCTCGCCCGCCTCCAGGCCCAGGTCCTGCGCCAGACGGCCCAGCACCGTGCCGGCCTTCGCTTCCTCCGGCACCGAGTAGCGCACCTGCCCGCCCGCCGCCGCCCAGGCCGCCTGCAGCACCAGCACCCGCAGCACGGCTCCCCACCGCATCGCCGCCGCTGGTGCCTCCAGCCCCTTCCCTGGCCCTGTCCTGCTCCCCGCCGCTCCCCCGACTTCCGCCTTAGGGTCTCCCCGGTAAGAGAGGCACGCCGTTCCGCTTTCTCTGTGCTCCGCCCGGGCCGGTCTCCCGCATCGTTCTTCCCGCTGACGGCACCGTGACTGAGGCTCGGGGAGGAGCTGCCGCCCTTCCGTGTCTCACGGCGCCTTCGCGGCCAACAGCGGCACCTGGTGTCCGACCGTGGCTCCTTCGTGAGCCGCTGCCTGCTGTCCTGCTCCCGCTGCCGCAGCGGCTCCGTGCGGGGATGGACCTGCCGCGGCTCCGCCCGCTCGTCCGACACGCTCCGGGATTTCCCGTCCGAACACTGCCTTCCTCCGCAGCGGTAATCGTGAGTTCTTTTGTCTCCTCCCTTTCTCCTCCTCCTTCTCCTCTTCCTTTTCTCCTTCCTTAAGGCACTTTAATTGAGAAGTACACTTGCCAGAACGTACGTATTAATCCAGGAGTCGTACCTAGGAATATCTTCACTGCATAAAGCCTACCCTGCTTCTGATCTCCAGACTTTAGCTTCTCTTATGCCTGAGGCGACATAACTCGATTTTCTCATTTATGTTTTCTTCTGGAACATATTTCAGCTGTTTCCTCTACAGAAGAAGATTCGATCAGAAGTACAGAAATACCAGATACAGAAGTATCCTCGATCTTCCATCTATAGAAAGTACTCGGGTCTTCAGAAGACAGATTCACATGTAATGTGTGTGGTCTAGTCCAGGAATGGTAGAAACGAACAGAAATTGCTTACCTTTTCACGGATTTGTGACAGGGATGTAGCTGAGCAATTCCACACAGACTCCTTGGCTTTTTGTAGAGTAAATAATACAGTAAACCCATCATATTACAAATACCTGTGTCTGTCCATAGCAGAATTGTTTTGCCTTCTGAAATGTATTTCCTACCGAGTAAAGCATCAGCACGTACCAATTCCAAAAACTTTCAACTCCATCAGCAACATCCTGACTCTCTGCTCTAAACATAATCGACAGAGCAGAAATCCTCTCAGAAGGGTGAAATAGCTCAGGGAACCTGAACTCTCATCTTCATGTGTCAGTGAAGTATTTTCTGTAAGTTTTATCTCCCAAGTGGAGCTGGACAATGAAGATCAAGGTCTTGGTTATTATTTTTAGGCAGGTAGAAACTCACAGTATGGCAAGACAATGTTCCCATTACTGATGGAGAGGAGCAGCTGCAGGACACAGCAGAATCAAACAAGCCTGACACAACTGAAGACAAGATAAAAGGGTTGCACCATTGTTCTGGCAAGGCACAGTTCATCTCATAACATGTTCCCAGGCTCCCGCCTCATCTACTGATATAAATGCATCAGAGCCTCTTCTGGACACAACTACAGCACTTGCTGCTGCCCTGCCCTGTAGGCCAGGCAGTAACATAAACCAGATAATTTCACAGATTACCGAGTTGCTGCTTCTACCACAGGAAGAATCAACGATGCCTGCACCCAGAGGTAAAAAACAATACAAAAGGACATTACAAAACACTAAAAAATCTATGTAGATCCCTCGACAGGTATTTTTAATTACACCTGTTGCTATTCTAACTGTTGTCTTGATTTACTTCTAGGTCTCTATTGTCAAGCTTGTGTTCAAGGATCACTGCTCAAAATTTCAGGAAAGCAGGGCTGAAAAAGCAAACATGTTTTTTTTCCATCTTCTCAAATCCCCGCTGGCTTGCCAGCGTTTCTGTACCCGTTTCTATGAAGGCAGAAACAAATGAAACCTGAAGCCTCACGGCTTTCTCTCAAAGTAAAATTCACCTTGAGAGACTACAAGAGAGGGAACCACAGTGATGGCAAGAGGCACAGACTCTGAAATAAAAGAGAATTATTTGGCAGCGTGGCTTTCACTCACAATTGCCAACACATCTCCTGATAAAGTCAAGCTAAATCCCTCTATGTGGAAATTGGGAGTTTCAACCATCATCCATCTTCATATTCATATGATTATGATAAGGCAAGCACACAATGAGACACAAAAAAAAAACCTGTTTATTTTAAAAAGTATTCTCAGGGAAGGGAAAAATAAAATTAAATTAAGTAAACGTAGATAATGTTAAAATCCCACAACATCCTGGAAATTCACTGCCTATGACTGCTGGGTACACGGGACTACCCAAGTCAGAAACCAAACTGAGGTGCTTCTACAAATACGTTAATCCACCAAAAACAACTCCTTTAACAATATGTCTTGCTCGGTCTGGCACTACAGCTGCACATTTTGACATCTACTTCAGTTCGTGTTCTTCTGCAATTAAGTACCTTACATTAGAAAGTGCATTTCAATCATGCGTAAAAGGGGGAAATGTGAAATACATTTATTTTTCATGTTCATAGTAATTCTGTACGACTTTGCAAACAAATATATGCCATGCATGCTGAAGAAAAAAGAACATTCTATATGGATTCTGTTTCAGAGGCGAATCAAAAACCACCACAGACTTCTGAGTAAGAAAAGACTGGAAACCAACAACTTGCAGCAGTCAAAAGCAAGAAATTCTTTAGAACTTCTCCACCTGTAAGACAGGGAAATATGGGCAAGTGAAGATGCTCCATTCAAAATTAAAGACTGAAAGAGGCACTCAGAGTTGTGATTAACAGCACAGATGGAAGAAAACCAGACCTGGTAGCACCAACAAGATCAGGTAAACACTGCAGCTGGGCAGAGATCTTTACCAAGAATTGTTCCATTTAATAACTCACGAGGGGATCTCAGAAATTCATGGACGGTGATGTACCAAAGATTACAGGAGATATCACCCTACGGAGCACAGATCAAATACAGCACTGATGAAAGGAACTGCAGAAAGAGTTACTGACTCTGAAGACCTAGATAGGAAACTGGCAAAATATTTTCGATGAAGGGAAATACAAGGCTGAGTGGACAAGAGAAAGATGTGGCTTCAACACAGCCGGTGACTGATACTGAAACAGCCACTGAAGGTTCTAAAAGTATAGAATAGAGAAGAAAGTGACAGATATATATGACCTCCATTCTCAGTGCACTCAAAAAGCCAAAACTCAAGAGACTCTGCAAGACAAAAAAGTATTTTCTACAACTTTGCACAGAGCACACTAAAATTTAAGTATTTTTGAGTGCTCCCCTTCTAAACACGATAAGTGGAAGAGAGACCAGAGTGGCATAAAAAAACCTGCTGTGATGTAACACATTGCAGAGCATGAAGAAAAGGGATAATGAAACCGGCAGTCAAAGGGTAAACGACGGTGGAACACGGACCGCCCCTGCGTAACGAGGGCGGAGTCCGGCACCAGACAGAAACTGTCAAGGGGAAGGGTAAGAGGGGTCAAAGCGAGAATGGGAGAGCGACTGACCGTGTCGAGGAGAGCGGAGGGCTCCGGCTGCGTGTCCTTGGCCGCGGGGCCCGGCGGCGGCGGCGGAGGGAAGTTGGGGCTGAAAACCATGAGGTCGCTCTTGCCCGCGCCGTCCGCCACGCACAGGCTGCGGCTGTGGCGCTGCGAGTACGACCAGCTGCCCACTTCGCTGGCGCACACGAGCGTCGTGGGCCCGGGCCCCGACAGCACGGCCGCCCGCGGCGCCCAGCGCGACGCCCCGTACAGCACCACGGCCAGCAGGAACAGGCTCGACACGGCGCAGATCGCCACCACCAGCCACACGTTCGTCG